CCAAAATCATTATCCTTGCAAATTTTTTTGTGATGGCTAGTGATTGCGTTGTGTCAGTGAATGTCCTCACAAAAATAGATGTGCAAGAAGTGGCCGCTTGGATAAAAGAACCAGAGTCAGTGACCATAAACAATGTTCAGCCTGTTCCAGTTTATGTCCAGCTGGCAACCTTCACCACAGCGCATGGCTGACTGCAGTGCTGTGCTCTAGAAGTCAACATTTTACTAAAGGTCTGTATCTTCATTTACATGCAATGCAATAGTAGTAGTATTGTTGTATTTAAAAGTTGTTATAAGCGCAAGATATTCACAATCAACGTTTTTATTGCTGTAGTGTAATGATTAATTTGCATGATGATGACTGGATGTGAACTTCAAAGCAATGATTTAAAAAGGCTAACATGGCAATTGAATGCACAATCTGAAAAGCTATACAAAGTTAATTAAATATTTGTAATTATATAATCAGATATTTTAAATAGCCTACTGTCCACTTTAATGTAACTTGTTAAGTTTTGCTAATTGTCACAATTTCCAAGGAAGATGAAGAAGGTTTAATTAGCAAAAAACTAAGGTAGATCCAAAGGTAATCGCAAACTAAACAGCACGTAGGCAAGCAATACCGGACAATGAAGGAAACAAACTGAGGGGCTTAAATACACAATGATAATGAACTGAATGCAGACAGTTGTGCTCATTAAATAAATCACCATGACAACAGCTAGTGGTGGGAAACTAGGTTTGAATCTGAAATCGCTCCCTAAACCCGCAATCACTAGTCCCCATGTTAGTCCAGCAGTGCAGTTCATTTAAAGGAGTGAATGAAAACGAGTGAGTGAATTTTGAGCGTACATCGGCATACACTAGTTATTGCGGTGCATTGTCGGATTGAATGAGTGCACTCGATAACGTCCACTGTGCTTTCGGACACCATTACAAATGGATGTCCCCTCAAATAATGCCCCATTTGAGGGTATTGGGGGCAATTCGGATTTAAAAAAGGAAACTAAAGATAAACAAACTAAAAGTCCATGAAAATGAAACCAACTAAACATAAAGGTTACAGAACGACCCCCCCTCCGGGAAGCGTTTGTGGTCCAACAACCAGCAGTGTAGCCAAAAGGTCTGGTTAGAACCAAAAAACTGAAGGGACCAGTTGACAACAATGGCCCTGGAGGGCAGTGCAGAGGCGTAACCTCAAAAGTCTGCGGCACAGGCAGGGCAATTTCCAGTAGGACGACAAAACATGGTGGTGCCGATGGGACGGTGGTCCCGGGTGGAGCCGAGGGAGGGAGGAGCCAAGGCAGAGTTGGGGCTAATGTCCTGGAGGTCTGAGGTGGAACACAGGAGTCGACAGACCTTGGTTGAGCTGGCGAACTACTAGTCCATGGTGGATACTAACAGGTAAGAGCCAATAGAATAGCCGAGGGACTGAAGTGCACCATCGCAGGGTCGAGGGACCGACTAGTCTGGGCAGAGGAGGTGGGAAACAGAGGTAAGTTGGTTGTATTCTTAGCATAGCAGTCTCTAAGCTGGGTTTGGGTTTGGCCAGCAGACTAGGTGGAATTAACAGAGGAAGGCATTGGCTCAGGGTCCGTGATGGCCATCAGCGCATTCTCCAGCTCTGCAGTGGGTTCGGGCTCTAGCTCTGCAGTGGCCGTTAACACTGGCATCAGCTGAGGGTAGGAACACTGCAGATATCGGAGGATCGCCTCTCTCCACGTTACATCACTCATGTCAGGTAGGTCAAGGGGCCGATAATAATTGGCTCCAGTCCAATTCAGAGTCCATCTCATCATTAACGTACGTTTTCACAGCCAGTTGACAGAATCGGGCAGTGTACTCGAAGATAGAGAGATTGATAAACTAGGCTGCAATATCCATTTTCTTCTCTTTTGGGTCCAGTTTTCTGTCACAATTAGTTCCAAGGAAGATGAAGGATTGAGTAGCAACAGACATTAATAAAGTAAAGCAAACTACTTAAACCAACACAGTCTCATCCCAAGAAGTCATATAACTGACGTCTTGGGACGTCTTTTAACCATACGTCAATAGTAGCCTGCAGTGTAACTACTAACTACTTTTTCAAAACAGTCGTTTGACTGTCATACTTTTTATCATGAGTAGCTTCCTGACATTGGTCCATGACAGTGTGATTGGCAAGGTAGGACATTAGATCTCGCTTTGACTCAAGAGAATGTGTGAAACATTAAAAAAAATCATAGTCCTTCACACTGAAATAAATCAGAGGGAGGTGTCACTGTCCACCATTATCTTAGATCCAACCAACTGATTGATGCAGCATGTTTTCAGCCTTGTCATCGGCTGCTTTAATTGAAGTCCAGCATTATTTACAGCCTGACCGACCCGGCAATCTGTGCAGTGAGTGAAAGGCGTTTTGAACTGCGACACATGAATATTGCATACAAGTCGGCGTTATACGATTTACAGTTTCTTTTGTTCTGATGGTGGCATCAACAACAACTGGGTTGTATTTCATCTAGATACAATATTTGCAGATCTAACGAACCGTTTGATGGACTGCATTGATGCATATGACAAAGTTTGTGTATGAGAGAGATGTTCAATGAGATTTTTTTATTTATTTTTTTATTTTAGAAGCAATACATCAAATCACCCGGAGCATCATTTAAGCCAAATGCACTACGAATGAGCTGTGTTCTCGGATAACATGGTTATAGCACTTGGGTCGTTGATTTATATTAGAAATTATATTTATATTAGAAAATTGTTATATGGATATATATATATATATATATATATATATGTGTGTGTGTGTGTGTGTGTGTGTGTGTGTGTGTGTGTGTGTGTGTGTGTGTGTGTGTGTGTGTGTGTGTGTGATATTTTTGGGTGGAATTACAGTAATACAGAAACATAACATATAACAGTATTATAATAATATAGAAAAGCAAAAAAAAATTGATTTTTGTTTGATTTTTTAAAATTTATAAAGGATTATAAGGTTGTGAGAATATTTTATTTATATTTTATTTTTGCATAAATGAGTCTTTATGCATGAAAATATTATATTTATATTTTAGGAACAGGGCCCCTTGCAAGAGGATTGTCATATTGAGGGTTTTTGACATCAAAAAGTTAAGATTTATGAATAGAAGAGAGGATTTATGAATGGTAGTGAATGCAACTGCTGGCATTGGGTAAGTCACTTGAGTCCAAATTTCATAGTTTTTTAACGATCCCGAAGTAAATTCAAATGTAGCACCTATACACAGACAGTTTGTGATTTGGTCTTCGCACCCCTGGTCTTTTATCTTAGCTAGCGCGTGGATGGGATTATCCCAGAATGCTATTTTTCAGATAAAAGCATCTGCCAAGTAACCACAAATTTTAATATACCATCATTGAATTTCAGTAATCTGGTCAGTCTTGGCAAAAAAAAAATGGAAACAGTCCCCGGTGGCGTGTTTGGGAGAGCTATTACTTTTTTGAAAAGGATTTTGTGTCATATCTCCAATAACAGTCCTTTGGAATTGCAGATTGCCCTTTTGAAGAACGGAATTGAGTCAGTAAGAAGAATTTTTTTGAGAAAACACTGGAGGACCACTACTGCAGACTTCAAGAGATTCTTGATTACACTATTAATTTTCATTATTTTGGGACTCTCCTGGAAAACCTTGAGCCACATTGAATGGACACACGTGAATCTGAATTTTGCTTTAAATTAAATTAAATAAAGTTAAAAAAAAAATGGTAGATGGCAAAAAAAAATTTGTATGGTAGTTTTTACGTTCGAAAAAAATGTCAAATGAAATGTGACCTGGAGATTCACCTGTATACAATTGAAACAGACAAAAACCGAGTATAGCATAATATTTATGATTTTGTTTGTTAGCTTGCTTGCTTAAGTTTGAAGAACTTATCTATTCAACTCTACTTACAGAGAGAGACCACCACTGTTTTGAGATCAGGCCCAAAACTTGATTTTGCACTATATCTTGGGAGATATGAGTGGAAGGTTAGAGAGAGATGAAGACTGACAGTGTGGAAATGTATTGAGGATCTATTCTTCTCTCCACTCCCTCTTAGTTAAACCCAGAGAAAAGCTTTGATTTCCCCTGAGAGAAGAGACAGAAGAACACACACACACACACACACACCCTTCGGTCCAAGTTTATGTCCTCCGTGCAAGATGTGGTCCGCTGCCCTTTACGACAGTATTGACAGGGAGTGTGTGAAGTGAATCATCGCACAACGGGGTGGAAGTAACACAAAATGTCTTTAAAAATATTGTATAGCCTACATGTATTTTCTGTTTGCACATGGATGAATTTTTATTTTAAAATGTAATAAATAAGTCCACCAAGCCGTTGTCAAACATGCTTGACCATTACAGGGTGTGAATATAAAATCTAAGTTTTAGATGTGTGATGTGAGACTGCAGGTCATTGGCTTAATTGTAAATTAATTGTAACATTGAATTGAATTACTTTCCTATTGCATTGCCCATGCAGATTTTGACATGGGATTGTTTAAGTATAGGTTTTTCAGATGTATTCCAAGTATTAGTGTCAGTCTGCAAACACTGAAAATGCACATGAATGGATTAATAATTGATAATTATTAATTAATTCATGCTTTTTCTTCTTCTTTTTTTCTTCTTCTCAGGGACAAAAAATATGCATGCAGAAAATGAACCAATGATGGTTAAAGATCTGGACTGAAAGCCAAAAAGGTTTGAAGCATAGCTGCACTTTGAGCAGGGGCACTTGGGTAAAAAAATATTATTTTGTCATTCGTCAAACTTTGAGGCGTTTTGAGTGTACATTTGTACACATGACCAGCAGATGGAGCTCATGTAAAATCTTAGTTACTTCAGAGGACAGTCTCTTTCTCCACATCTAATATTCATTAATGCGAACCAACATGTTTTCCTATATAGGCTACTGTAATTAATCATACAACTATTCTCATATCAAGAGGGAAATATAATGGAAAATAAGTATTCAAAACAACTCTAAATTGTCTTTATGCAATTTATTACAAAACAGTACAAAAGAACACTGTAAAATCTTTTGTTAGCTGGCCTAAAAATATACTTCATGTTTAAAAAAACGTCATGTCAAAAAATGTGTAGATGTAATATTATATTACAAAAGATGTAATATAATGTAACATTAAAGGGTCTGATCAGACAGAAGTAGTTTCTTAGTAACAACTGCACATTTTAATATTAAACATTGTACAATAATTTAAATAAGCTCATGATAAAAAAAAAAACATTTAAATATAGTTTAAATACTGCTTGGAGTAATGTTACATTCAGTGTTTCAGTCATACAGCAAGTGAATTCTATAACAAAACCGCTTTTGTGGACAACATCTGCGTCAGCAGTATACTGGCAGGCGGCTGTTCTCTGCTCTTCTGTGATTTCCCATTAACTGCATGAGGCCATCTCTCAAATCCCTGATTGGGCCGTGCTGGGTCATGTGACAGGATGGAATTCCACTTGCAGGGTCTCTGGAGTTTCCAAATCCCCCCGTTCTGTTCTCCCGTGCTCTTCCGTACTTTCATTTCTGGCTTGATGCTTTTTGAGCCATTGGGCAATCCGACATCTTAAAAGTGTCTGTGTTATTGATGTTCTTGCTGTTGCAAAAATCACAAACAAAAAAGTCACATTAATGATATAGCCTATGAAATGTAGCCTACTAAATGTAAACATTAGCTTGAGAATTGTCTTAAAGAGCATTAAGGGCATTAACTTTGCTATAAGTATACCGTCATGTTTAGGGTATATATGATAACACTTTACAGAAAGGGTTTCAATGAACATGAACTAAAAACAATCCATCTACATGTTATGTAGATGAAATGAAATGTTAATTAAAATCAAAAGTTGTATTTGTTAACATAGTTAATGCACTCTGAACAAACAATGAACAGCTGGATTTGTGTTAACTTATATTAACTTATGTTAGTTAATACATTAACTAATAGTAACAAATGAGACCTTATTGCAAAATGTTACTTACAGAGTATATTTGGTCCCATTAGATTAGTGTGGCAAATATTGTCTGGTATTATTATATTATTACCGATTAAAAACAAAGTGACGTAATAAAAATGTCAGTACCTCTTCCAGCAAGACTGCAGGTTCTTTCCTTGCAATGTGTTTGGATCCAAGCACCGCTCGATGACTTTACTTGAATTACTCGCTTGTTTTAATTTCAGTCTGCAAACAATGAAAACACATCAAATTAATATGATTCAGTCTATGATAGTCTATGGGTATGTCTACTTAGCAACTGTGTGAAATGAAAGGTAATTTATGGTATTTTGTCTAATCTGATTGGAGCTTTTTGCCAATAAATGAATAAATTGCAACAATGCATAAGATAAGACTTGTTTTAACAGAATATATCTTTAATTGTGCTTGTTTTTAGTATAACCCTGTTAAAAACTCCCTTGATATCTTAATTATGCATTAAGCAAAATACATTATATATACATACACTGCATATATGTTTAATATCACATGCATATATTATGTTTTATCACAGATTGACACTTACATGATTTCTACTTGGTCGCAGTATGGCCTAATGGGTAAAACAGAGAACTCTTCAATAGTGTCCTTTCGGAGGCCTTTCTTCAAATTTTCCACACACCAACATCTGTCCCGTACGTTAGCTAGAACTGTTAGGGAATGACATTTGAAAGATTAGCTTAAAATGCATGATTCTGCACAAAAAAACATGGCTGATGTTAAAAACAAAGCAAGCACATTTATCTCATTAAACCGTTATTGTCTTACCTCCACTCAGCTGAACACACACTACTGCGAGCAGCAGCAGGGGAAGGACTTTGGGTAAAAATGCCATAACTTGTTTGCTAGTGGATAAAAATCGATAAGAAATGCAAAGATCAACTCCAATGGTTTGATGAGCTTTCAAAGAAAGTAGCAAGTGCTGCTGGAGCTGAAGTGAAAGTGTGAGGAGTGAAGCCTCTCCTCTTGGTTTTTTATAGGCCATTGAGAGGGAATCCCACTCCCACATCATTTCCCAGCAGTCATGCAATTTACTGCACCGGAATTTCCAAAGTACTGCCTGTTGAAGCAAGGAGTGAGAGAAAGTGATAGAAAGACGAGGAGGGGGGTGGGGGCTTGGGATTGAGTGAAAACACAGTTCCAAATAAACGCAAACAGGATAGAAATATAATGACGGCTTTTTGACTTGCAAAGATTAGACAAAATGATTGATTATAGGCCTATATTTACAGAATGTTTAAATAATTCTTAATGCTGGATTATTTATTTTGTTAGTCACATGTTACCTGAATACATTTGGTAAGTTTTTTTTTTTTTTTTAAAGAAAGCAATGATTCAACATCCAAAGCGGATAACACACAGCATAATGATGCATATCAGTGTCAGCGCATGCAAACACATGTGAACATTGCCACTATCTGACATGTTGAGGCCGATACCTCATAATCATGTCTGGCAGAAGCCTTTGGGATTTTTGGGAGATTTTGGGATTATTTCCCCCAATTACATTAAATGCAGACTGCACATATGGGAATACACTTAGTCCAGAACTTTATCTCACTCTAGCCTATGTCAGATGCTTCATATATTGAACCTTTTAGGGGTTTCCATCATGGGATCATTTTATGGATTTAGTTTTAATCAGTGTTGAAGGTAATGCATTACAAGTAACTTGAGTTGTGTAATCAGATTACTTTTTTCAAGTAACTAAAGTAATTAACTCATTTATCCGAGTTACTTTTTCAATTAAGTAATGCAAGTTACTTTGGTTTCCCATGTATTGAGTGACAGCTCTCCTGTCCTCATGTTGAGAGAAATCGTGAGTAAGTGCAGAGGGGTTGTGTGCGCTCTGTGAACGTGATGCTATTGTAGTTCTAGACTAAATGTGAGCAGTCATTTAGTCATCTAACTTCAACAAAAACAGATTCAAGTTCCTCAGATGAATAAAATGGTTAATTGCTCGTTTTCGGGTTGAGCTTTCTGCGACTGCGCAACTGGGGTAGGTTGCTAGGTTGAAAATTGTATATGGTGTGTGGATTGTGTGAATTTAATGCATTTAATACAAGATCTGGCAACTGGTCAACATTAGACAAACATATTGGTCCGATTATTCATAAAGGAGTTTGGGCCATGCAAATTATGGGAGTTTCCCATAGGAATGGCAATCAACAGAACAACGAACAGATGGGGACTAATAAGAAGAACTAAGGAATCATAATAACAAAGAAGTGGTGGGAAAACTAAGTCAAACCTAAACACAGGGACAAGAACTAAAGCAAAACAGAATCTACATGTGACACACATTCGTGTTTTAATTTAGACAGTGTTGAACTTTGTTCTCTTGCATCTTATTCTTCTGTGATTCAGAATGGCGGCACAGCTGAGACGTTTTTTTGAGAGGCGCCCTCTACTGTACAGGCGAGGATGTGCATTTCCTTCAGTCTGAGGCTTATTCATTTCAATTTTTGTGTGAAAGGGCCTTTACATTTACAAATAAAATATAACTTGTTTATAAAAAACGTACAACCCCAGCCTAGATGAGAAGAAGTGACACAAATGTAATGTAACCTATTATTTTTCATAAAAAGTAATCCAATTAGTTACTTTTGCATCATTGTAACACATTACTTTTTAAAGTAACTTTCCCCAACACTGGTATTAATACGTTTTCCTTTAATTCCTTCAATCAATTTTTAATTTTATTTAAATTGTATGTTTAATTCATAAAATGTAATTAAAATTGTATGAATTAAATTCAATATTTGTATCATTCTTTCATGTATTGTGCAATCACCAATCCTGCACACAATGAGTTTAATAATTTTACTGAAATCTGCTTTTTAAGTTGACTCTCAAATGTGTGTGATGTTGAGTTGACTGAAATGACCTGTTTGTGTGCGACTTTGATTCACGTTGCACGATTACACAATACTGGCATTAGCAAAGCTGTCGCTCATTAAACAAAGCAACATGCTTTAAAATATGAGTACTGCCAGTTATCCACAACATAAATATGAGCTCTACTCTTCTACACAATGGTACTTCAAAATAACTGAAACTCTTTCAAATGTCAAACATAAATCCTCATCATTAAACATTAACAGATGTTTCCCTTCACTCAAAAAGACATAAAATAACACTTCATTCCAATGTTTACTCTCTACAAAGCATGCTGGGAACTAACAATGGTGTCTCTAAATAAATCTGCATAATTGAAGTAATTCATTTCAAATAAATAGGTAGCCTTCTTTCCTTCATTTTATCCTCAATTCAAAACTCAAAAGTTTCTTCTTCTTTTTTTAAGTAGGAAAATCTCTTGGTTTTATTAGTGCAATGTTCACTTTCTGTACAACACTGAACCACAATTTCCTTAATAAAATATGCAATTTTTTTTTTAATTAAAATGATAAGACCCATGATTCATTTTTTACAATGCAGCGAAGAATGTCCACCAGTGAAAGCTAACACAAGATTTGGACCACGCTTTTAGAAAGTGTGATGAGTAAGTTGTTTTGACCCACTTATAATGGATGAAGCAAGAGACAGGAATGCAGAGAGAGAAAACACATGTTGTCTTAAATTACTGTAATTTTCCTATACACCGTTTACCACTTTTCACTTGTCAACTGTTATTTATATATATCCTATGTATTTAGTGATTTATACATTCTTCCTGCATATAGGCAATTCTTTCAACCAAAACAAAAAGACCCCAAACTTTTGAATATTAGTGGAATGAATCTAATGCCTGGTTCAGATTACACGATTTTAGTCCGATTTTGGCACGACCCGTTTGACGTCGTAGGGTGTCGTGGGGATTCGTAAACGACAACGGGCGTCGGGACGCAAGATTCGATCGTATCATCTCGTATACTGTGTCATAGTGGGCGACAACCTACTTCGCGTCTGCGATGCTTCACGACATCACGACAAAAAGACTAGCATGTTTAATTTTTTCAACGATCGTCCTCGACGGTTCCGTCACATGTATGAGGTTGACCAATAGGAGCACAGAAGCTTTTCCGTACACAACTTTCAAAAATGGCGAAACGAAAGAGAGACGATGGTGCTAACAAGGGCTGTCAATCTTCCTCTAATACTATTCGAATTCCATCCCTTATTTTATTTAATATTCGAATACTATTCGAATGCTCAAATTTATCCTATTATTAATATTTACGACATTACACAGGCTTATGGATCGCCAATGCCACTATAGCATACGGTTGTTGTTACACGTTCTGTCCACTAGAGGGACATCTAATAAACATTTTATTCGTGCTGAATATGGATGAAGCGCTTCCGATGGTTTTCGGCTAATATCTCCGCGAAAACACCACCAAAAATTCTGAAACTTATATCGTAATTTTCAGTTCGACTGGACGGTTCAAGCTCGGTGCTCGACAAATCCGTTGATATATTTGCGTTTTTCGCTTCATGGGCGCTTTGGGAGGTGCTTTTTACATTCTTAAACATTTACCATTTTTGACAGTAATGTTGATGATACAGCGTGGATAACGTGCACACTTGTGTTACGATTCAAAAACTTTATTGTTCGTCAGACGAAACAAAAGCATTTCATTTTCAAATGTGTGTAAGCCAAGGCGGCGAGAAAGACAAGATTGCATTTGAAATTTTAAAAAAAAAATACATAAAAAAGCAATATTCGATTAGTAACTTCAGCATTCGAATAGTATTGATTTTTTTAGTATTCGAATTATATTCGAATTTCGGAATTCGTTCCAACAGCCCTAGTGCCACTAAAAGTAAAAATATACAAGAAAACAATATTTTACCTCAAGTTCTCTTTGGAGGATTGACAGCCCATACTGACCTCTTCGAGCAATCCAGGTACGTGTCCATTGTCGGGTTTTCTTTCTTTTTTAACTTTTTTCTGAACACAGGACAGCCAATACAACACTCAACACTTCATCCATTGTTTGTTTACGTTCGTTTCCGGAAGTCACTCGCTACTAATTTCGCCTTCTCGATGACATGATGCACGCCGTTAAAGACGGCATGTGATGACTGGTCAAGAAGTAACGTGTAGTCTGACATGTCTTGTCAACGACACGACAAGATTTTCGGAGTCAAAATCGCGTAATCGGACACAGTGACTATCATAACAGACAAAAAAAAAATTGTGTAATCTGAACCAGGCACGCTAAACCTGATTTATCACTCGTCCCATCATGCATCATCGCAATAATACACATCTACCTGTTCATGGAAGACTTTCCCATGGCAGCATTGAAACTGTAGGATGTGGGAGTGTGACAGTGGTGAAAGGAGAAAGGATCATACGAGAAAGGTTTTAAAGGTTCAAACTCATTGGTTTTATTCAGCGTTAGATAAGCGTCAATGGTGACTTGTTTTTTAGGGATTGGGGGTGGGGGCAACATAGCTCACTTTTAAATTGAGACTTGTGGCAGACTTTTTTCAACTTTTGCAAAGTCACTCCGATATATTCAGACTGCTCATATAATAAGATCAAGATTCTCAGAATTCATATGCCATGTCATTCCCAAATTAAAAAAAAATCATGAGCTAGGAAGAATGCCATTCTCAGGAAGTGATGATCAACTCATTCACCCAGTATGCAGACTGGTTATCATTGTGTGGCCCAAAAATCCCCTTACCAGTGAAGCAGAGAATACATCAAAAATATGTTTGAAGATTGTGAAATAGCTTGGCTGTCTAACTTCTCTCTCTGACCATTGAACTCAATGATAGCAATCTTCTGTTTACATTACCGGTATACTTAATCCACACACAGAGCTCTCTGCTTTCAGTGTTCAAGTGATTCAGTCCAGAATGGTTGTGCAAGTTTTTTCAATCTGCCTGGCAGCAACACCACATTCTTTTTTGGTTAAATAAATCATGCCCAGTGTGTCTGAGAACAACGGTGACTTAGGGGAAATCGAAACCTAACTATTTTGTGTTTAGTAGAACATGCTGACTGTAATTGCTTTCTTCTGTTGCTCTTTCTGCATTTAATGCATAGTCAGTTTATGCTAAGTTATCATATTATTTGTATTACAATTATTTTACATTCATTAATATAGTCTACAGTTCGTTTAACTGCACATTTACATTTGTGATTGCATAATGCTTCAAGAGCTGGTCATGTTTTCACAATAAAAATCTATCATATCTTTTCAAATGCAATTTATTCCAGTAATCCAAAGCTGATTTTTTTTTCAGTATTCAAAGTCACATGATCCTTCATCTTTCGTTTTTGTGAATAGATATAATTTGAAAAAAGCTGGATTCTTTGATAACACAGATATTAAAAATATAGACTTTAATGCATCAAAAAATATTAATTTCTTCAAATCTTACTAATCATAAACTTTGAACAGTAGTGTATTTTATAGAGTATCGTACAGTATATAGTAGATAATATTCATGAAACAACAAAAAAGGAAAAGGTAACAAAATGTTCAACCATTTGGCTAACGGAATGGTATTTGATTTACAACCTGATATTAATGAAACCTATATTATAGTTGTTGGGATGCATCCCTTGTGACAACTAGCCCCCATTTAATGCTAAAAGAAAAAAATCACAAAATTTAATATAAAAATATTGGATTTAATTTATGTCCCTGAAGCCAAATACTATGTTCAGAAAAGATATGATACCTTATGGAGCCCTGATGGAAAAATATATATTTCAATGCTCTGCATCTCGCAATTATGTAGTTGAGTAATTATATTGTATATTTGCAGGCATCATGCAGCCGAAATCAATATGCGGGGTATTGAAATCACTTTTGAATGCACACTCGCTTTTTACTTTCACTTTCTAAGTCGCAATCTCATGTACTCTGTATAGCAATATGTGTACTGAACACACATTCACAAGATAAAATATTTGTCACACACCACACCAAATCCTCCCACATCATCCTGTCAATCATTACCATCTTCACGTCAGAACTGAAATCTGATGTAATGTAATGTAACCGACTACCGCAACAAGCCCGACCATGTCCCTTTAGGGCCTCCGTAGAATGCATTATTAATTTTCCGTGCCTTTCCAAAACCGGATTTGAGCTTTGAGCACATCCCTGTTAAAATTTAAATAATTAATTGCAACAGTTTTGATTATTGCAGCACATTCATGAGGCTGTGTCTACTACTACTCATATCATGCACACCTCTTCCGGTCTGGTCGGAGCGAGTGCCGCCCCGCCGTGTTGCGCTTGTGCGAACAGCCAGTCCAGAGGCTCCTGATTTGAACTGTCCGGGCCCTTTGAGTCTGTCAAGGTTAGTGAATCGTTGTCAGGTCCATTGAGAGCCCCGGGCTTGCGTGCCAGTGACATGCTGGGGTATTTGGCCATGCGTAGGGGTGGCAGACGGGAGCCCTGGAGGGGCCCGCTGAGAGGGTAGGTCGGTTGGGACAGCTCTCGCATGGAGTCCATGTACTCATCCAGACTCTGCTGAAGCTCGCTTTCCTGGAGCTCTGCGATCGTAGGGAGAAGATCCACAGAGGTCATACGCCTCCTAGGCTTCATGCTGGAACTGAGAGAGCGTGTCAAATAAACACACTGGATTCAAGCCTTCAATTTCATTACTAAAAAAATTCAACCATAAGAAGAACGTGTTAATAACATTCCTCAAACATTAGTATTTCATTTCCTGAGCTTGATCAACTGTGAATGGAAGAGTATCCATTTCATCAGGAGATTTATTTGAAATGTTTCCAGGCCTGTTTTCATTGTGTTTAGCTGTTTTTGTGCAAGTTTGATTTTGCCACATTAGCCGCGTTTCCATCGAAATTACCTGGAAAAATTTGTCCCAGGAACTTTTTTCCACCCAGACCTTAGTGATGCACCGATGTGAAAATTTGTGGCCGATACCGATAACCGATATTAACATTGCTGTTATGGCCGATACCGATATTTACCGATGTCGATATCCCTGTATAGAAAACACATAGCGAGGACTAGGGCTGCACGATATTGGTAAAAAATGACATTGTGATATTTTATTTTTCTGCGATATATACTGTGATATAAAAACAATTTCACCACATTACTTGAATTGCTCTATTTGGAAAGAATGAATCGTTCTAGAATGACTGGGGTAGTTTTGTCATGGAGTAAATCCGCATAGAAACTAATATTAATAGAATGTTAACCAAATTTGTTAACATTCTATTAATCTATTAACCTTACACTTTACAATAAGGTTCGATTTATTAAAGTGTACATTTAATGTACACTTTAATAAATGGAACCTTATTGTAAAGTGTTTCCGATTTATGTATCTTGAGCTCAGTGTTGGACAGATCAGCTGTTTTAACCATTCATTAAAGTGAATCGGTTCAAAGGAGTCATTAGTTCGCGAATCGGACGTGTCATTAACGGAACCACGGCACACGTTGTGATTATCCAGGCAGTTTAGAACATCGCACGAGATTTGTCTCGACCTATTTTTACAGTCTATGGTCTCGACAGTCGACACAGAAAACATTTAATCAACAGATAGATTTTTTTTGGTTTATTGAAAGTGTGGTTTCACAATTCACAACCAGTAGTTCAGAAGAAAAAAACTTCGGTCTTCCGACCTTTTACCATCGTGTATTCTCAAAGATATTCAGTCAACTCAATTCATAAACATGCGGGAGGGGGAGAGAGAGAGAGAGCAAGACATTTTGAAGACGGCGCGCGTGACCGGTGCTTTCACTCTCTCTTGTTCCCTCGGTTAAACAAGCGCAGCAGTCACTCATCTACATCACTTACCGGTCAAATATGGCTTTGGTGGGACAAAAATACGCATAAGGCTGGCAGAAAACAGCTCACCAGTTCCAGTCTTCGTGCGCTTGATGTTTAAACGCACTTGCGCTTTTAATACGCGTGCAAAAACAAACATCCCCGCCCCCACACCTACACGCACGTCAAATACACAGGGTGGGAATGATCATCGGCCTGTTCACATCGGCCCTATTTTGACATCGGAACGATACCGATGTGTAAAAAATTGACCAAATCGGCCGATGTTATATCGGCGGCCGATATATCGTGCATCACTACCAGACCTGTTTCTGCCTACTTTTCCACCACGGTTAATGGTGAGTTCACACCGGACGCGAATAGCGCGTCAGGCGCGAATGATTTCAATATTAAGTCAAATCAAAGACACGTTACGCGCATAAAAACATCCTGTGGCGCGAATGAGGCGTAGACGCGAATACGCCTTATTCGCGCGAATGATTTAGTTAGTGCTATTTGTGCATTCAGGCGTTTGACGCGAACTCACGTCTGCCGCCTGAGTTGAAAAATCTGAACTTTGGCGTCAATTCGCGCCACGTTAACCAATCAGGAGCCTAGCTGCTTGCTCACGTGGTGAAGGATCAGGATGCTTCAATAAATTATTTTGTAATATGACTAAATGCCTGGTGTGGTTCTAATGCACAACAAAGCAAATATTTTATCACTTAAAACTTTATTTCAATATACGAGACATGTACATTTTGTATTGAATGTTATTTATTCCATATCTAGATTATATGAAATATTATTATGATGTAAAGACAACCATGTCTGGACGTGAGAGAGAGAAAAAAAAATATCACAGGACAGGTTAATAACTTATGAAGGCTGGGTCTATTTGTCATCAAAACAAAACAAAAAACAGTTAAACTCTTAACGTGCGAATTAACACAAAGTGGTCAAGCGTCAAACTAGACACGGTAGACGCGAATTTGACGCGCTATTCGGGTCCGGTGTGAACGCACAGTAAAAGTATCGTGAAGATTATGCAGATTAGTCTAGTGACGTAGGCTTGCACGCTACTTTACAGTTCCTGCTGAATTTCATGCTCTGAATGTAAACTTAAAAAAAGCCTGAACCTCGTCGTTTGTCCACCGGTCGTATTTTTTTAAACTCCATTGTTGGTTTGAATAGCAAACAACTGTTACTGCATGCACCGCAACAGACTTTTAAAAATGGTGGGTGAAATTAAATGCTGCGTGGAGTCAACCAATAAAAATGCGGCATGTACTCAACCAATCAGCATGTTCAGCCCCCAGTCCCACCCCTGAAAATGCCTGAACTTTGAAAAAGTACTACGTCACAAGTAGGGACTTTCTGAGGGAAATATTTACCCGGGAACTTCATTTGGACTCTGGCTCCTGCGGTGGAAACACAGAGTACCAATCCAAAGTCCCTTTTTCCTAGGGGAAGTTCCTGCGGTGGAAACGCGGCTATTTTCTCTTAGATTAATTTCGCGGCTATTTTATTAGATTAACTGTTATAGACAGATTTGTTATGGAATAAAAATTGTATGGCATCTGAATCTTTAAATTTGGTAATGAAATATTTCATATTGTATAGTTTAAGACAATATGAAAGTTTAAGTTTATCATCTATTCTGATAATGTGTGTGTGTGTGTGTGTGTTTAGATGTAATATACACACACTGTAAAAAATATTGTTGGTTTAAATTAAAAAAATAAGTAACCTGGTTGCCTTAAAATTTTAAGTTCATTGAAATGGAAAAACTGAGTTATGAAGGAAATTGATTTAATCATCAGAAACTCAAAATATTATGTTCTCTGAACTACATAAATTATCTAAGCTGATTTGACAAAAGAAAAAACATTATGATAAAAATCATGTCATGAAAATCATGAAAATATTCTTTTTACTGTGCATTTTTAACATGATACATATATTATAGTTTTCCATATACATCTGTTTTTAAATACATGTAAATATTTTTTTATATTTATAAAATAATTACTATTTGTTTAAATAAATATGTATTCCGTGTCTGGATTTTCTCAATAGTCAAAATAATAACACTGTAAAAATATATATATATATATATATATTATATGATCAATGCGTTATGACAACATATGTTCTTACATTGCTTTAACTCATCAAATTAAGATTCAACTCATTGTTTTAAGTCAATTTAATTTCATTTGCAAGTCAGTTGCAATGACTTAAATATTCAAGTTGATTGTACTTTTAAAAAATTAAGGCAGCAACTTTTTTCTACTGTGAAATAAAATATCTTGTATAACCTGTATAATTGTTTGGAAAAGTTTGGAAACATTGCCATTTTTATTGTTTTTGAAAGCCTCTTATGCTCATTAAGCCTGCATTTTTTTGGTCAAAAATACAGAAAAAAAACCCTGTAATATTGTGAAATATTACAATTTAAAATAATAAAATATTTTATACTTTAAAAACCAATTTATTTCTGTAAAGCTAAAGTCCAGTCTTCAGTGTCACTCATGTGATCCATCAGATATTATTCTAATATGTATATTAAAATACATGTATAATCTTACACTACAATAAAAAAAAAATACTAGAGGTTAAGTTGTCTATTGAAGAATAATTCCTTGTAAAGACTCACCTGTATGTATATCTTGAGTGTGTTTGTCCAGATCTCTGCCCGGAAGAGCAGGTTCACGAGCAGGTAAGTGTGTCTGTCTTGTGTTCTGCTGAGGATTTTACACTTAGCCTTGTTAGTGACTTTATAGCCTAACCTAGTTAGTTGACCTCTGGCATCCAGAGCAAATGTACTAAAAATAAGCAAAGGAAATCTTCCGGCTTGTGTGTGTTGTTTTGGAAGTATTTTTAACAACAATTCTTACCTGCATGTTATACAACCCTCTGATTTCTGTTTTACATTATATATATAGCACTTATATAATTTGTGACATTTGCTTGTCTAATTTTGCATTTCACTCCACTTCATAAAGTGTTCTGCAGAATTTGTTGAGTCTTTAATCTTTAGTTTTGAATAGTAGTGCATGTTTTGAGTCTTTTTCTTCATTGCCATTTGACTGAACTACTCCGACCCTTAGTCTTGTTCTAGTTTTAACAAAAAAACAATCCTTCATGATTCACTGAAGATGATTGCGAAACTCGCTCCTGAATTTGTGCCATCGCTATTTAATCATCTAGACATATTCCCACAGAACAAACAATAAGATCCTTGGTTCGGATGATTAAAAGACACGTGACTGTCATCTACTGGAGTCGCTGCTATATTCCTTCAGGGTTTTAATAATACATGTTAAAACATGTAGTTCAGGTTACTGTGCATTAAAAGACTTAGTTCTCACACACATTGCATATTTTAGTAATGATCCTTGCATGTGACATTTGCGATTACAATATGAGACACACAATCAACATGAAAGGGTCTGCATGTAATAATCACCTTGTATTGCCAATAAGTGGAAAATAACTAAACTTAAACTATGAAAAGACTGTGAATGACCAGGGATGTTTTTGCCAGGAAAATCAAAAGGGAGTGGGGGTTACGCGCACTCCCGAGAGTCTCTCTTCCGTGTAGTTTTAACCACAGCGGTCAATCTTATGACCCTTATGAGTTTCAGCACGTTTAAACTAAACATTAGGCTGGATATTTAACGTCAAGTTCCTACAGTTGAGTTGGTTAACTTACGTGAAGGTGGAAAATTCGATTGTATGTGAGTGCTTTAATGTCCCTGTCAAGTCAAAATAAATTGAGCTCTGAGTTTGTCATACCAAAAAAAATAATAATAATAATAATAATTGTTTTAATAGCGATGTTCGCCGGAGTCAAAAGTGACATCACGATATGGGCGTGGGCGCGAACTGGTTGGCAGAAAGAACCAAGACATATGCAGCAGTCTACCTGTGTTTTGTCAGCATGATAATTCTTTGTACGAAGAAGCTAAAAGGAGATATAAGGTTAAGCTTTTATATAACCAGGGTTCATGCTCTCTGCCTGATCCATATCACCTGAGTGAGAATTGGAGCACATGGCCAGATTTGACATTCGGCGACATCTACCTCCCAGATAGCACTAGTCTATTTGATGTGATGTTACCATCTGGAAGACGTATTTTTAAGAGTGTTTGCTCATCTGCAATACGTCTATAGGACGTTTCCTGTCAGATGTCAAATAGACGTTTAGAAGATGTCAGTTTAACATGCTTTCTAAATCATTACACGGTGGGAGGCTATTATTTCAGGGGAAAAATATACAACATTTTCTTTTACATACTTCAAACCATCATGTGCAAGTTTTCGTTGGACTGTCCTTAGGCTGTGTGTCCATCAAAGCGTTTTTTCACGCACCTGGCGTATGTTTTCAATTGTTTTCAATGGGAGCGTTGCGTTTTTTAAACACCATAAGCGTACCGAGGCGCAGAGCGTTTTTTTCACGCTGAAGCGCCGAGCGCCCAGCGTTTTTTACTGGTCGCCGAGTTGAAAAATGTTCAACTTTGGATAAAGCACAGCGCTCATCACTGTCACTTTTTACCCAGCCATCCAATCACAGTGGAGGAGGGGCGGGACTAATACCACACCGACCAATTGTCACAACATTCAACTGCTGCGGATATTCTGTATCATAGCAACGAAACGTCTCAACGGAAAAGAGGGACAACAGAGGGACACAGTCGTTGCATGACACTCTGAGCCTCATCAAACATAACCCGGATCCTTCCATTTATTGTACAACCTCAATTATCCGCTGCGTTTGCAACGTCTTCTCTCAACTGTGAAACTATTTTATATATAAAATGATAATCGAGAGGAGAATTTCTTCAGCTAAAGACAACAAATCATCCACAATCCCTCTGAAAACACATTCAGATTCACCTGCCATTTTTGTGTCGCTTGCCTCGAACCCGTCTTCAAACTCCCGCTAATGACGTATGGTGTCTCTAACTGTCCAATGACAGTGCATTTAAGTTGGAGACAGGCAGTTTTTAATAATTTATCAGACAAAAACTACTACTCAAGATTTTGCTTTAGTATAACTTTCGGGACAAATAGTATAGTGACTTCCTACAAAAAGTCATTAGTCCTATTTTTGGACCTTCCGGCCCGCCATGCTGTCCAATGGCATTTTTTAACTCAATTGACAAATGGATAAGGTAGCACCAAAATTGTGGGAAAGTCTTCCTACTATTGTCCGGGAAGCAGACACACTATAGCAAAAGCTTGAATAAAGACACATTTCTTTGCCCTACCATACACATAACACATTATAGACTTCTATAATTCAATGTGGAGTGGAGTTCAATGATGGAGTTTTTCGGTTCCTTGCCACTGTTGCTTGCTCAGTTGGGGATATTCAAATTAATTAACCAATCAGTTAACCCTTGATCAGCTCTACCAAACGTGGATGTTTTTCCTCTAAGAAAAGTTTTTGATTGATACTGTGAAGCTGCTTTGATGCAATCAATATTGTGAAAAGCGCTATATAAATATACTTGACTTGACATGATAAAGAAAAGCATTTGGCAAATAGATATGGAAATGGTTTGCCAAATGCTTTTTTTAAAGTTTTTTTAAACATGTGCCTTTAAAATGATTTATTAAAGTAGGCCTACTTTTTATTGTTTTATTAATCTACGTTTAAAAACACGAAAATTAAATAACCAATTTTACATTTTGTCTATTTATATATACATTTAAAATGTTTTGATTTATTTATTGTTTTGTGGTTTTATTGCAATACATTTAAAAACACAAATTAAATAAACAACTTTAAAAATGTCCATTAATTTGTCCATTTAAAAGTAATTTATTTGTGTACATTTTTATGTTTGAATTATTAAATTGATATATTGAATCTTCATTTTATTTTCAAGTGGTCCTCCAATTTTATGTCCATGACACATGAAACATACTAATAGCCTATAATCTTCAGGTTGAAAGGTTGTATATTATGTACTGCAATGTGTCATGAAAAGAAATATATTCAAGCTACAGTCATAGCCAAGTCTCAAATCTACTTAATCAAACAAACTATCATAACAGTTGGATTTTAATTACCTCATATGTCGACAATGATGGAGGTGAATTGCAGAGCTGGTGAAAACATATCCAAATCACTATGATCAGATGCTTTCTTTGTCGTTGTCTCACGGCATACAGTCAAATGTTGTTGTTTGGCTATTTGTATTTAGAGCGTGCAGCTCTCATCTGAACGTCAGCAGCGTGGACGACTATGATATGTTTTTGAACAGCAGATTGGTAGGCTATTTCAAACTTTGTTTTACTTTTAAGCAAAAAGGCGTCTTGTGAATTAAATCACATTCATTATCTCGTAAGTGTTACAAGTGCACTCGACGCGAGCGAGCACGTGCAATAAATTGCTGGCTGTTGTTCACTCAACGGCCACTGGTGGCGCTAAAAACAAGGATTTCTGAATTCTCTTGTCACTGCTGCTCATGGTCTTCATGGAAATGTGAATGAAATTAAGACTACTCAAAACTCATGATCATTTTTATTCAGTGCTATTTATTATAAGTGTGTTATTTCTCTCAATCTCTAAATCTGAGATTACTATAGGGTTGTCAATTGATTAAAAAAAAAGATTATTTTCGTTTAAAATCAGTTTAGCTCTTGAAAACACATCTATACTGTTATACTGTTTTGTATAATTAATTCTTCTAAATTAACACTTTTAACCAGAGAGTGTTCATTGAATATACTTATATTCATATTTATTTTTTCTGTTATATTTATTTATTCAAGCATGTACTGAGTATTGTAGTTTCTTTGCAAGCTTTTTAAATGCATTCTGTTGAACTGAAAGTTATTTAACTGGATAATGCAAAGTGTGAAATAGCACCTACGTATATGTACAGGAATAAACTCAATCCTCAGTCACAACTTCTGCCCTTATCTCTGAGTCAGAAATGAGGCCGGAAAAGGGAACAAGTTCTTGATTAGACCATTCATGAAGAAAACACTCGGAAAAGTTCTCAGGGATGATATGGAGAAATATTCAGTAACAGGAAGGAAGCAGCCCGATGATTAATGCATGATACCCGGTACTGACATAATTCAAGACATGAGGTCACTCGACATGCTTAGACCATATTAAGAACGTTTCACTGTGACTGTGTCTTGGTTATGGTAAAGGATCACAAGCCATGGGAGGATTTTAAATTCCTTAAATCCTGTGGAAATGCACTGACCTCAAGTCTCTAAAACTCCTCAATAAAGGTAGATTATGAAGATGCCAGCGGGTGCGCAGACATTCCCGAACTGACCGTCTGGTGATTTACGGCTGACCGTAATGCTCATATTGCTTCTCTTTATTAAGCTCTAAGGAAGTGTTACAAATGTTTCATGGAAAGCATGGGCTTGTTCAACACACTCATAAGGAAAAGTTAACTCAAGCTTTACATGTCACAGTTAAATGCTCAGATTTGGTTTTGTTTTCTATCAGTCTGTTTAGTCACATGTTTGTTTTCCTTAGTTCTCCTTCTCCCGCCCTTAATCAGTTTAGAGTTGTTGGCTTATGTTTAATAAAGGCTGTTGTTATTTATACCTTTTTCTTTATCATTGGACTTAAACCGTTTCAATACAGTTCTGAATCACTAAAACGTCAATCTCAGGCCCCGTCCACACTACTGCGTTTTCGTTTAAAAACGGAGAATTTAGGCTATATGTTTACACGTAAACGATCTGAAGAAAAAACGCAAAAGTGGCGTTGCGTTTTCACTTTTTATTCTGCGTTTAGACGAGCGTTATGGGTGGGAAATCCGCGTGCATATGGTGACGCAAAAATGTGTGAAATTCGATGTAGTATGCACTCCAGGCAGCTAGGTGGCAATGTGAAGCACTGCCACACAACAACATTAAGTCCGCGCACCTGCGTACAACCTTCACTGTTTAGCAGACTTTCGCGTTTTTACCCTTTACACGGGAAAGCGACGGTGGAGCGTTTTTGAGATTTCCACTCTGGAGGGTGGTTTCACTTTTTTCCGATTTTAAGCCCCAAAAACGCCGTCGCCGTGTAAACGAAAGGCACATCCGATCAAATATTTTACGTTTTCACCCACGAGCGTTCTTGTGTAAACGGCCTAAAACGAATACGATCTCCGTCCACAACAGCGTTTTGTCTGCGTATTAAAATTGATCTCCGTTGGAAAACGCGGATCACGTGACCATTCCCCTACACTGGGTAAAACGGTGGCTGATGAAGGATACGTCATGACCAATCCAATCATAGAGCCGAGCGTGAGCCTCAACGTCATCGTTTTTTGACGTTGAGTCCTCCGTTTTTTCCCGTTTTCACTAAAACGCCCTCCAGAGAATCAAAACACAAAACAGAGCTGCAGCGTTTCTAAATTTCTCCGTTTTAGGTCTTCGTTTTTTCCGTTTTAGTCTGGACGGGAAGTCAAAAACTTCTGTAGTGTGGACGGGGCCTCAGAGAATTCAAGGCTAAGTGTTTAGGGTTGAAATTAAACATATTGGTTTTTAAACATCTTACGCCTATAACCATAACATAATATAACATAACCAATTTTCCAAATCACTGGGATGGAACCAATATCATTTAATATTATTTAAAAGAATTGTAAGAAGAAAAGAGGCAGAAGCCTGGTATTTCCAAAAGATACAATACTATTTTAGATACAATACTGATAAAATTCAGATACAACAGTTGCATTTCCCTGAACTCAAAATGTGACACGGGACTTGATTTTGTCCATTGGAAATTGATTGGGTGGTTGTAGTTTGCTCTTAGTGTGAACGTCATGTGAGTGACAGGTTGATCCCGCCCTCGTGCCAGAGAAGAGATGTCGTCGCAAGAAGGTTCAGCTGTCTTGATTAAAAATTTCGACGGCACATGAATTAAAAATTATCATTTATAATAAATACTGCAATATTCCCTAAAAAGATAGCAAGGTGACTTTTAACTATGTACTGTAAACGGACAAGCAGAATGATACTAAGAGTGAAAAATCCCAGTGATACATCAGCAGCTTCTCGTCAGATTTGAGGACCGGAAGTAATCTGAAATATGATATACAATTCTAATTCTGCGATGTAAACATAAGCATGCAATTCCCATTTAAATTGTATGCATGTAAAACATGATTGCTCATTTAAAGAAGGTGAGAAAATAACCTACAGGGAGGAGAAGAAAATGGAAGAGTTGGAGGAAAAGCCTTTTATCTTCACCATGTGGAATTGTATAAACCTGGAACATTGAAATGGACAAATCAGTGGAGCAGAGAATGCATATACCAATGTAAGATATAAATATTACATGAAGCAGCCAGCACCATACGAACACGTCAATCCACACGCTTTGATCTCCATCTGCAGCTTTGTAGGAACAGATACCAAACGCTTTTGCTTAGACAGATTCATCTGTAACCAAAGGAAGGAATACTTCTGATTTGATTCCAGTCACCACGGTCCAGACTCCAGCAGCGCAGAAAGAGTCTTGGTTTCTGAGAAGCCATTAGACATGAAACAACTGCTGCTGTAATTGCGTGTTTATGTGTTTTCTCCACAGGCGTTTGATGCGTCCGAGATGAACTTGCTCAGTGTTTGTCTAGTGTTAGTCACAACATGGCTGCTACTGCAATGGACACTTTCACGTCTACGGCTGGATTTATTAAAGGAGAACTCCGGCGAAAAATTAACCTTTGGTCTAATATAACGTCGGTACCTCAGTCGTTCTCTGAGATTTGTTTTCATGATAGTTGAATGTAAAGAGTTTTATCTCTAAAAACTGTTTAGCGTATAACGCTAGTACTGGGGGCATTTACTAAGTAAAAAGAAATCGCTAGTTTATACCACTAACAAGGCTCAAAATAGCCCCACACTCACACAGTAACATAATGAGAGTGCATCCATGCAAAACGAAGCATTGAGAACTTTGTAAGTGTACAGACCGTTTAATAAGAAGACAGTTCACTTCGTGTATACAGACAGGAGCCATCTTAGAAAATAGTCTCGATAAGTCGATCCCCGAACGTCGTGCTGAGTGAGCTGAACTTCTGAACTGTATGAACGGCGTTCGGGGATCGACTTATCGAGACTATTTTCTAAGATGGCTCGAAGTAAATTGTCTTTGTATTATCTTTGACTTGAGAAACATGACTATATCATAAAGACTTCATGAACAAATAAAGTGATAATGATTCAGTGATGATGATGATGAATGATTCCCCCCACCCAGATGTTCACGGTCTCTTCCATGGAACTGGATGTGTTCGAGCTCAAGTATGCTTGGACTGGACCGTTTTGGAAGAGGCGGATTGTAATATGATTCCCATAACTCCCCAAGAGAAGCATTATTTTGTCAGCTGTCAGGCGCTTAGTAAATAAGCAAGTTTAGCCTGTTACATGATTTCTTGGATCACATTCAGGGTGCATCTGTGCATAACCGCTGGGGTTTTGTTTAATCCTAAAACTTTTAATAGTTTTATAAAAGTAGAGTATATATCAAAATCCTTTGTTAACTCAATTATTTTAGGCCTGTGTGAAGATATAAAATCTAGTTTAGCCTATAAAATATCCCGTGACAGGGATGTCCTGTCATTCCCTTAGATTAGGCTATTAGTAGAATGAAACCAGTCCCCAGCTGAAAGATTAGGAGTCCTAGTTACTGTAAATAAGCCCTGGAAAGTTATCCAGGGCTGACCTGGGATTATCCTCAGCTTCTGTGATAAATCTGGAAAGGGCAGTTCAAAGGATTGGCACGTGAACTTTCACTTTGTTTGCAATCGGATGTCGTGTAAATGATTACAAACAGTTGTTACTCTTCTCACTTCAGTCAAGATGGGAAGTTGTGTTTAAAAACCAAATCATTATTTTAAATGCCACACTGCCACCTAGTGACAACAGGGAAATCCTGAACACATCAAATGCCATTTTTGTTCAGACTATTAAACACCTTGTTCAGCTATCTTAAAATCAAGACAAATATGGTCAGTTGACCTTTGACATCTATTGGAATTTAGAACTGATTAAACGGCTAAAGGCAACACTCAGAATGTATCAAAGGTGTAAGGCCTTTATATCCCAGATAGCACTAGTCTACTTGATGTGATGTTTACTGTTTTTAAGAGCGTTTGCTCATCTGCAATACGTCTATCGTAAGTAAGTAAGTAAACTTTATTTATATAGCACTTTTCACAGACATGAAGGGTCACAAAGTGCTTTACATTAAAAAAAAACAAA